TTATACCATCGTGATAGCGGGGAGCGAGTCTTGAACGTAAATGCTAGAGTATTTATTACACTCGTATCGCGCAGCCTCATCGCGATAACGCTAAAATAAACCTCACCTCGAGTGCGCGCGAGTGCGTACGAGCCATTTTAAGGACGCGACGCTTTAACGCGCGAACGAGCCTGATTCCATTAATGGCACGTAGGTGGTCGTATTTACCCGTGAGATTAGATCACGCCGCGTCGGGGTGTCTGTGTTAATTATAAAGCGTCTGGAAATTGTTATTATATATCGGGACTTTATTTATCGCGATTAATTTGTAACGCGCACTCTCCCGCCGGCGCGCTGTCTCAGCGTGCCGATTACCCTTTTATTGACTTTCGAGCTGAGCTGGAGTATCCTCCAAATGAAAAGGGACAAGAGATCTTGTCTCCGCGACTTGGAGCGTTCGCGGCCGACTTCGCGATACGAGATCGCGCTCACACAGTCGATGTATCGCGATTTCGAAGACGAAGATTATCGATCACGTCGGACACTCGCCGCGCGGACTCGGTCGCGAACGGTGATATTTCACATAGAAGCAATTCCAAGCATTATCCCTTTTCCCCCGCCCCTTTTTTTTCCTATTAAAACGCTGATATGTCCGATACCGAGCCGTAGCGGGAGTTAATCTAAAAGTTTTATCTTCTCGAGTATTTCATCCTGACCTTTAATTTTATGTTCGCGCCGCGCTAAAGGTTAAGCGACTTCGTACGGTTGAGATAAAATCCATGCGAGCTGCGGTTTCTCCTCTTCCCCCCGCCCCCTCCCCCCCCTCCTTCGCCCCTTCCCCTTCTTCTCTTGCTCTTTATTTTCGAAATCCGTCGTTATTACCAATAGCCATATGTTCGCGACAGTTCGCGGGATTCGCTGGGACACGCGCTGCACGATAATCACGTGCATGGTTTATCTTATCACTCTCGTACTCCCGGGGTCTGGAGCGCCGGGAACGCGTTTCGAATCTGATTTATGGTGATGATTATTCTTCCTCCCTCTTAAACTACTCGATAAAACCCCTTCCTCCCTTCGCCCTCGCGCCTCTGAATTTTATCGAAAATGTATAATCGATAATTCGCGGGGCGGAATTTGCGCGGTGATTCATATGTCGACGATGATACATACGATATTTCATGCATAATGCGGCCGCTCCGAGCGCTATAAATCGGAATACCGGGCGAGCGATATTTTTTTTTCGCCTCGTCTCGCGCGTACGCGACGCGTGCGTGCCACGTTAAAGTACTTGTCCGGCGCCGGTTGTCCGGTTTATTAATTAATTTCGCGAGGTCGCCGGTCGATTCGCCTCATTAGAGACCCCGTGTATTCGTGACGGCTGCACCTGCGCTGAACGTCGACGCGGCGCGGCGCGACGCGGCGCGGCTCCCCCGCGAGTTAATCGACTTTGCACAGACACCATTCCGCTTCTTTCCGTGCCGAAAAGTTTTTCTTCGCGCGCCCTCTCGGCGATCTTTAATTATACATTCAGAAGAGATCTCATTACGCGGTGTCGCGAGGAAGATGATTAATTGGACGACGACTGGCGTAGGTGCTATGCATTACGAGGTACAGCCGAGCGTTATAGCCGTTACATCGATTGCACTTCGCGCAAACGCACACGGGAGGTGCGAGTAGCTGGAGATAAATACAGGCGCATAACGGCAAGCGCACACGCCTGGAGCAAGAGAGACAGAGAGAGACAGAGAGAGAGAGAGAGAGAGAGAGAGAGAGAGAGAGAGGGAGGGAGAGGGAGAGAGAGAAATAGATAGCTAGATAGATAGAGAGAAAGAGATCGAGAGAGAGGGAGAGGGACGGGTAGAAAGAGAGAAAGAGAGAGAGAGAGAGAGAGAGAGAGAAAGAGAGAGAGAGAGAAAGCGATCCGGGAGACTCCGGATATTTTCAACCCTCCGCGTAGCGTCGGGCACGAATCCATTCGGTGCGTCTGCAGACATGTCGTGTTTCATGACGAAATAATAATCGGCGGATGATGTATGCATACGCATATATATATATATGTGTGTGTGTGTGTGTGTATGTGTGCATGTGTATGTATAAAGAAGAAGCGTTTTCGCCACTGGTGGCGACGCGAGGTGAGAATATTCCCTCGAGAAGATCGCGTTCGGAGGGCCGGGGAGAACATTTTCCGGGAAATATCTTGAAAACATCCCGCTGAAGATATTTTCCGCGCGAACGCGGAATAATTTCGAGAGAATATTCTCCCAAACACCGGTAGAGCAAATTGTGTTGTCGAAAGCGATATAGAAGCGGTATAGAGGTCGAGCGAGGGGTCGTCGGTTACTTCATTTTGCACAGAAAGGACGTCGCGCGACTCCGAGGATGGCTTTCGCCGCGGCGTAGAGGGGCGGGGTGAGTTTACGGGGAAATATACGTCGGTCATCTGAGAGGCTACGGCGCGACACCTTGATAAGGCTGCGATAAGATATCGCACTTACGCGCGACGCGCAAATATTGCCTCTAATACCTGGCCTCGCTATAAATAACGACCGTCGTATAATGCGCTCCTGGTTTTTCCACATTCTCCCCGTTTATTCTCTCTCCCCCTTCATCCCGTCCGCTCGCCAGCCTGCCAGTTGTTATCCAGACCGCATCCGTTTCCACGACGGCGCGACGTCGTCGGCGACGTCGTTGTCGTCACCGAAGGAAACTGCAGGATGAAAAATAAGCGGTGTGTTGTCACCCACACCTGTACACCTGTACACACGCGTGTCCCGCAGCACGCATACGTGCTGGCTGGTACAAAGCTCGCGCAGACCAATGCCAGAAGAGGGTGAGAGAAGGTTCTCCGCGCGCGCGCGCGCGCGCGCGCGTGTGTTTGTTTGCATGTGCGACACGACGATACCACAGTCTTGGCGCGTATTCACGCTCCGGGCGTCCATTGTCTCGAGTTGTTCGAAGGTAAAAGATCGCAACTGAAGCGTCAAAGCTGACGTCATTGTTTCACTTTTCTTTCCCAGCTGCAGCCGCCTACGCACGCGTGCATGACACACCGGGGCGCATCATCCTCGTGCCGCGCGCCGCGGTTACCTATCGGGGCGGCGCCCCGAGCTATCAATTCCGCGCAATATAACTTTGATACCGCTTTGTTTGACTTTACGCCGATGCGCGTTTTCCATACACATGTTTTTATACCGTTCCTCACGGCGATCGCGAGTGTGTGTATCAGCCATTGTCGAAGGTTCCGCACGATCGTCCGTTGTAAACACGCTCTTTGTCGGGATTAATGCAATTAACCGAGTACCGATCTCCTCCCTCTCTCTCTCTCTCTCTCTCTCTCTCTCTCTTCTCCGATATTATACGCACGCATTTCGGCATTTCGTTCGCAGTTCGGCGTACGTCTTTAAAGCCGATTCATTATCGGCGTTTTTCCGCAGTCCTGCCGCCGCATATCGGATTTCAATCGCGACTGGCCGGCTGCCAAGACGTGGACGCGCGCAAACAGCGCGCGCTGCACGAGTCCAATTATTTCTAAGTGAGCGAGAGCAATTAATTCGTCAAGGAGCAAATTTCGAGGAAGAGAGAGGAAGAGAGGAGGGAGAACAAGACGGAGGAAGAGAGAGAGAGAGAGAGAGAGAGAGAGAGAGAGAGAGAGCACGTGAGCACAGAGACGCGTGCTCCTGTGGGCGACCGCACTCGACCTCCTCTCGTTCCGCAGCGCGAGTTACAGGCACGAGGGTGGATGTAATAGCTCACCTGCCACGTTCCACGTCGCCCATGGCGTTGCCCGGTGGCGCTGTTTGCGCGACACCGGCGTTAACTCATTCCTGCGGCCGACAATTTTATAACAGCCGACGAGAATATTCCGGCCGCAGACTCTCTTAATTAATCGCGCGAAGCGAGCGCGCGCGAGCGCGCGCGCGCTCGCATGCAAAATAGAAAGGCACGTCTGTCGGCCGGGGGAAAATACCTCGGCCACGAGGCGGAGAGAAAAAGTCCTCTATGAACGTCCTCAGGATACACGGCTGACCCGTTCCGGCTGTTGCTCTGCTGCCTCTACGGTTGCTACAGCTGCCGCGCGCTTGTCGGCTGCAGCCCCCCCAATCGTTCCGTGTTATGCACGTAAGCCGTGGCGCCGTAGCGCCTGCGGCGGATGCGGCGGGTTCTCCTTGCGGCAGCCGGATTAATCCTAAGGGCGGTCGTTCATTCGTGCAGGCTCCTGGCATTTATTAGCACAGGTCAATGCTTCAAATCGCCCCACGGCTCACACGAGGCGCGGCGGCGATGCAGCTGCGCCCCGCTTTGCGCAGTACGCGCTCATGTACGCGCGTTCTTATAAAGACACGAGGTCGTTCCGTGACCTTTCCGCGGAGGCGGAGACTATTAAAAAGAGAAGAACAGGTAAAGACTCTGTCAAACTCCGACGTGAGGCCGTGAAGGCGACGCGAATCGTTTGATTTGTCCGCGTCGCCGGTATCGCCGCTGTATAATATTTGTGGAGCGCGACCTTTCGCGCAGGGACAGCGTCGAGGGCGACGCTGAGAGATAACACCAAAGGGCGTGCGTGAGCGCGTGATGATGATCTTTCTCTCTTCGACGAGAAGCCAATTTGAGAAAATTCAAACTCTCCTCTCCTGATTAGCGGCGCGCGATGTGATTTCGCGCGCGCGCGCGCGCACCTACATCCGAATCTAATTAAGCGCAATCGCGCGGCGAGTAGCACCGATTACACGCAGCCCGATAATCAGCCGGCAAGGCTGCGATGTTCACGTAATGATCGCCGGCGGTGCGCGCGTCCGCCCCGCGTGAAGGAACTAATTAGCAAGCCAAAGCCCGGCCGCGGGATCACGGCCGTTGCTTGTACGAGCATTACAGGCGCCGCCAAGGCGATCTCCAAGATCAGAGGCTCAGGTCGCTCGAGCGGCTCGTCGCGAGAAATGTAGGGTGCCAGAGTGTCTCGTTGTTGCACGAGAGGAGCAACACGAGCCCCCTCAACGGCGCCTCGCCTGTGCTTTCTGTTACAGTGAAGAAGGCGCGGTTCGTCTGCGAGGATGGTTGGTATCCCGCGAGAGCGAGGAAGCGCAAGGAGCAAGCGGCGAATCGCCGCCGGCGACGAACGATCATCCGCTCGCTCTCAAGAGCTCCCTCACACACACACACACACACACGCGCGCGCGCGCATACACAGGGGCGAGATATCAGGGCGATACTAGCGAAATCGCGAGACCGCGGCTCTCTTGGCTCGCGCTTCGCTTCGCGGGAGTCCCCGCAGACAATTGATTGCACTCCGATTGGAGCGGTTCCAGCGCTCGGATCATGCGACTCCTCCTCGGGCAGAATATCGCGACGTCGCGTGTCCGTTTGTAACGAAATCATTTCTCCGCCCGGCTCGCCGATGCAAAGGACCCGTCTCGCATGTGCGCGGCGCGCGCGCGCGCGCGCGGGGAGTCCTTTATATAAACCGCCGCCGTTGCCTGCGTCGATAAATCTCGGCGCTCCTCGCACGGGCCGATGCACCCTCCGTGCGAGAGTTATCGCGCTTCCCCGGCGAATTTTCCCGATGCAGCGAAAACTGCCTCGTAATTGATATCGCGCGCGTCGTTGATCAGCTTCCCTTTCCTGTCGCTCGTCGCTCGTCGCTCGTCGCTCGCCGCATTCACTTGCACTCGCCGCCGATGACAAACGCAACCTTGACAGTCTCGCGTGAACGTTTATATTGTGCACTTTTAATATTCCAGCAGGCGCGACACGTACAGCCATTGTACAGCCGCGGACTTATGAAGACCATTATTTCACGCAATGTCGCAGATTGAAGCGTTACGATAGCGCACGTCCGCACACACACTCGCCGCGCGGGCGTGTCAATGCGTCCGCCGTATTCATGAATTTATTTACTCAACGCGCGGCGATGTGTGTGTGTGTGTGTAGTCGCGGCTCTTATCGCGAGTAATTTTAGCCCCCGTTCAAGTGGATTTTTGCATACGACAGTTCTTGGCGTGCGAACGCCCCGCCGTGACGCCGAGTGTCTCGACGAGGCTCTCTCCACGTGCGCGACGCCAAGTTCGATCCTTTCCATTTTTGGCAGCACCCTCGGCGGTCGCGGCGAACCACGCGTTATTCTTCACGTCTCGCTTCACTCTATTTACGACACCGGCGAATTTTTTATTAATATCCTCCCCCTATCGGCTTATAAAAGGCTTCCCCTTTTTTTTCCAACGTCGCGCACAAAGTTTTGCGCGCGCGACCTTGGCGAACATACGTTGCGCCGGCCGGGCGCAATTTCGCGGGGGTGGCCTCGCAAAATGTCGAGGGTGACGCACTGTGCCCGAAATATCGCGTCGCGGATTGTAAAGTCTCGCCTCTGCTTTTTGCGCGGACTTATCGAAGCCGCGCAGCCGGGAACGCGGCACGTCGGCTACAGCGGCGGCGTCGTCGTCGTCGTCGTCGTCGTCGTCGTCGTCGTTGCTGGGACTGTGGGCGGAGAAACTTATCGGAACTTAACGGTACGTCCCGGTGTGCGCTCGTTCTCAGTCACATAAAACAGAAACTCGACGAGGGTGCCATCGGGATCGCTCTTAAATCGCGCACAGTACGGCGCGCTCGCTAATACCGCGCGCGCTCGCTCGTTTATGGCCAAGTAAAAACGCAATGCTCGGTTCGAGAGGCAATTCTCGTCCGTGTTTCGCGAGATTCGATAAATGTCGTACATGTTGCATTAATAAAGCTACACTAACAGCCCTGTGTGTATCTCGCTCTTGTGCCTTGGGAGCGTGCGATGTGGTCGTCGCCGTCGTCGTCGTCGGCTGACGCACAGACTTACCGCTCGCGATTTCAGCGGAACAGTTCAACTCCTACGTGACGTTGAAGCTGCAAAACGTGAAATCGACCACAGTCACCGTGAAAGGGGCCAATCCATGCTGGGAGCAAGACTTCCTCTTGTAAGTTATCGCCGATCTATATTACCCGCTCGAGCGCTCGTGAAGCGCATTCACGCCCGCGCGCGGAAAGAACTCTCGCCGAGAGTGTTGGCGTTGTTCAGCGTGTTCGCGAAACAATTCGAAAATTGCTCGCGCGATTATTATTACGGCGCGTTACACACACACACACACACACACATACATACACATCCCGTCGCCGGCATCGCGAACTATCGCGTGCGCGCCGGCACTAAAGTATCTAGGACGGCCGGTAATTTGCGCGCATCCAAAGGAATCCGAGATTAATCATACTCTTATTTAACACGACTCGCGGCGCGGGGCGGAATAAATCCTACCCGCCTCCGCTTTCTCCGTCGCGTTCTCGGTCGGTCCGCGATTTTCCGGGGAGCGCGGCCGAGAGCCGCGAAGAATCCCCCGGCGCGGGCGAATCTGCGACGGAGAAATACGAACGCTGCTTTTTCACGGGAGCGGCCGTTTCGTCCGCTATACCCTCGGCTTGTAACAAACTCCCGGCCGTTTAAGACGAGATCCCCCGCGACCGTCGCAGCGCTCGTTTTTTCGCCTACGTAAGTTGCGCACCCTGGCAAGTATCTTATCCTGGCACAATGTTGACCGTTTGCGATGCGAAAAGACGCATTGTTCTTGATCTTGGCTCGTTTGTTCTTCGCTCTTTTTCTCCCCCTGCTCTCTCTCTTCTCCCTCTCCTCCTCCTCTCTCTCTCTCTCTCTCTCTCTCTCTCTCTCTCTCTCTCTTTCTTTATCTGCTTTTCTCGAGCAACGACGCTCGGCGCCAGCGAAAGCTAAGCTCCGAAGATCTTCGCGATCCAACTCCGACTACTCGGCCGAGATCTCTCTATAAAAGCGCAGACCGGTTTAACCTCGCGACGCGACAACATTTATCCGCCGTGGCTACGCAGGAATTAACGAGACTTGTTTGTTGCACAGCGAGACGAATGACATGAACGCCGGGCTCTTGGTGGAGGTATGGTGCAAGGGATTCTTATGGGACCGCTTCTTGGGCTACTACTATATCCCGCTGTCTGAGGTGTCCTACATGAACGAGGTAACGAGAAATCAGTGCAACTTAAGTCGTAACGAGGCACAGCGTCAAGCCGAGTCGCACACTTCGTCTGACATGCGTGACACCAACAGCAACACACAGCAAGACGTCATCGGTGACACGGTACACCAACTCTCGTACATACATTCGCCGTACACTGCGATGCGATTCGACACACCACCGGCTACCGCGGACTCGCGAGGCTTGAAAAACAAAAGGAAGAAAACAGCGCGCGCGATCGCCGATCTTGTCGCGCTTTCCGTCTCTCTTGCTCTAACGCGTGGTAGCAACAAGTATCAGGAGAGGCGAGGACGCCTCGCGACAACTCGATACGGCCGACTCCGAGAAGTCCGCCTCTCATTTCGCATTGCGTTTTATTTCGCGTCGCGTCGCGTCGTAAAGACGCAGAGATCGGCCGTTTCTAAGAGAGACATCGTCGATAACGGTCCATGAGCAATTCTTAAGCACCCTGCGCACGTAACGATCTCCCGCGCTCTGTGTCTCTCGTTCTTCCCCCTGTCTGCCGACCCCAGCCCCCTCCCTCGTCGCCGTCTTTCCGCCTCTCTTTAGCGAAGCCGGCGCGGCGCGGCTTCGCACGTGAAATGAAATTCGACGAGTGTTTGCGCGTCGAACCAACCGAAACCAATTACCGTCTGGCACGCTGCCGATGCGCCGTCGGTCTTCGCTCTTCGTCGGCGGAACCCTCGCCTCGATGATCCCTCGCCACGCATCATTTTCCGACTAATGTCCGCCGCGATAGCCCTTCGTTACGACGGCGAATCCCGTGCTATTTCTCCCTCTGTCTCCCCCTCTCTCTCTCTCTCTCTCTCTCTCTCTCTCTCTCTCTCTCTCTCTCTCTCTCTCTCTCTCTCTCCTCACCCCTCTTTGCTTGTTCCTTTTTGCCTTTTTACACGACGCGCTATGAATCCGGAAAGCGAGTAGGGCTACAAATGGGGAACGTGACGCAATCAATCGACGTCACGTCCGATACGAGATCAGTTCGGCCGGTGTGTTATGTGGCGCACGTGCGAATCGAATCTGCGGGGGATGACGCAGCGCGGTGACCGTTTTACACTGACGTTTCGGCCGTGTCTTTTTCCGCGAGCCTCGCTCGTCGCCGCATGTAGACAGTATACGCGTCGTGCTCGAAGAATTAACATTCGCATAATTTAAGCGAGCTGACGTGTGCGAAGCACACACACAACCGCGGTTGATGCTACGATTTATGGTATTCTCCCTCGCTCCGTCCCCACCCTCCGCTCTCTCTCTCTCTCTCTCTCTCTCTCTCTCTCTCTCTCTCGTTCCGAGGTACACGTGAACACAGACGATGCACACTGCGTTCGTAATTAGCGTTAGATATTAATGGCGGCCCTGGGACCCAATTTCTCTTATCGCCGCGCTAGCATCGGGCATGCTCTTAGATTCTCGAAACGCGAGTTACCGGAAGTTGGGAATGTCGATTTGTCGCGTAGCGCAAATTACATCCCACTTGGGGGAACTCATACGACAAATTGACGCGCTACTCGGGTAGCTCGTCTCCGCTCCGCTTTCGCGAGTGAAAGCTTGACAGATTCGAGCGCGATTAAGGTCCATCTCCCGTCCGCCGAGCCCGCCGCCCTCCCCTGGACTCTCGCACCGGGAGTCGCTTTTCGAGGTCGTCGAACCTCAAACTCCAGATTTCCACCTCGAGAATCTCGCTCGTCCGAGCAATCGGTTCCCTTTGTCTTTCTTTCTCCCCGTCTTCATTTGCGAGGCGCGCTTCGCTGCGCGTCTGCACGGCGACAAAAGTGAATTTTCGCTAATTAAATTGCTCAAATGCTTTGTCGCGGGGCTACGGGAGTGGGGGGTTAAGAGACGCGACGGGCCACCCGTTTTCATTCGACAAAATCGCTCTTTTCCTCGGCGTGAATAACTTTTTGCAGCACTCTCCCCCGCCTCTCCCTCTCTCTCTCTCTCTCTCTCTCTCTCTCTCTCTCTCTCTCTTTCTCTCTTTCAATCATTCTTTTAAACGGTTAGACAGAACTCACTCATGCGCGACTCGGAAACGAGAAAGCGATTCTCCGTCCTTTTTGTTCTCTTTTTCTTCTTGGTTGTTATTCAAATTCCCAGATGATTATCCCGGTCCCCTTAAAGTCAATCTGCCATCGTTCCTTTTCACAGCGTCGCGCTCTCATTATCGGCGTTATATATTGAACAAGCCCTTCTCACCGCGAGAAGGAATTTCAGCTGGCAAGTCGATATTCCAAATATCATTTCAACATGTCGAAGGCGTTAACGACGTTACGTCAGTTTCTCGTACAAATAACGTCTGGAAATAGAAAAAGAGACACCCGTCCGCCCGTAAGAAGACATATTCGGAAAGTCGAGAAACGTAAGCCGCGGTAACGTAGATGGCATCGAGAAGCAGTGGAAAAAGACGAGCAGAGTCAGCCGGGCTTGTTTGCTTTTTCCGCACAAAGTGCACCTGCAGCATCTTTCGGTGGAGAGTCGAAGAAATTAAATTAGGGGGTAGACTCACCTTGAATAGCGACGCGACTCGGTCACGCGCGAGGACGCGGCTCCGCTTTTATATGCGCCTATTAGGCGTTACTGCTCTTCAGATATCTCGCGAGCTCCGCGGAGTCTTCCTTCAGATTTGGAGACCGTGCCGAAAAAATAACGGCTGCTACTGCCGCGCGTCGCTCACGCGGCAGAGAGAGAGAGAGAGAGAGAGAGAAAGAGTATCCTCTCTTTCTCCCTCTTCCCTTTTCTTAAAATCGAGATAAAAAGGAGATCAAAAAAAAAAGAAGAACCGCAGACGCGAAACGGACCTCTTTGATCGAGGAATCGAGCTGTTCGCTATCGGCGAATCGCGTTAGCGGAACGCCGCGAAATCACCGCGTATCGCGACGCGTCCGCGACTTCGCCCCAACCCCCGCTGCCGTCCCCCCGTCGTTCTCGACTACGACATCGCCATCACTATCGGCAATTCCCGGATCCTCTTCCGCTCGTGACGTCACTTGGCGTCCGTCCAAATCGCGACGCTCAATGAAACGTTCGAGGAAGCCCGGACCGAGAGTGGGCGACGCGCAAGCGGCCGCCGACGTAGGTAGAGGTTTACGACGGTATTATGCGTGCACATACGCCGACACCGGGTCGCGCGCGTAGAGAAAAAGAGCGAGAGAGAGAGAGAGAGAGAGAGAGAGAGAGAGAGAGAGCGAGCGCGAGAGAAAGCGAGAGAGAGGAAGAGAGGAAGGCAACGACCTTGACGAGAGATTCAGCTGATTCTCGCGCTTTTTCCACGCCCGAAGGAAGCCTGACTCGGCGACGCTCGCGAGCTCGACTCCTCGTGAAGTGGGGCTTTCGTCGCTCTAACGACCCCTCATTCACACCCACGAGACCACGTATATTCGCGTTCGCGCGGGCGCGCAACTTTATATACCTTACAAGCGCGTATCCATTACGCCGTGTGCCCCTTCTTCTCCGCGCATCCGTGAAATATTACGTAGCTTCGGCTGTCGCAACATCAGCCCAGAAGCTGATGACCGTATGATTTACGATCCGCGAGACGCGGCCACAAAAGCGCCGACGGTCGCCTTTTATCTGGGCGAGGAGAGCGAGAGAACGAGCGGTGGCTATAGCGAGAGAGAGAGAGAGAGAGAGAGAGAGAGAGAGAGAGGGGGGGCGGGCGATAGAGAGACGTCAAGACATTCTCTTGACGAAGTCCTTTCGCGTGGCTTTCCGCTTGAAACGACACGATTGTGGCGACAATGGAAGAATCCACAAATCACGCTATAAATCGTCTCTCTCCGCGAGTTTCTGGCCGGGCGATCGACGAACCTCGCGTTGACGCTCCGCGAGATAAAAAGTACCGGGGCGCGAGAACCGGTGAGGGGTGGTGAACGAGGGACGGTGGTAAATATATGCGCGACCACGCGAACGCGAGAGAGAGAGAGAGAGAGAGAGAGAGAGAGAGCGAGAGAGAGAGCGTGAGAGGGGGGAGGGAGGGAGGTAGGAAGAGTGTAAAAGGAACAAAAGCAGGCCGTGCGACGAGGAGACAAAGACGGGGCGGGCGAAAAGGCGCGACAGAGGGTGCGCTCGAGAGTGGATGACGGAGGGCGAGATGACGAAGACGCGATACGCGCGAGATACGCGCGCGTGGTGGCCGGCGACGGCGAGAAAGGCGACGACGGATCGAAACGCGGCCGAGATAGATGAGCCCCGAAAGTACCAATGCGCGCGCGAGGTCAGAGATTGCTTTCGCCGCGTGTCGCGCGGGAGGACGATCTGGGTCAGCGGGCAGCTTAAAATATTCATAAAGCGGCATGCGAGCGCGAGCTCGCATAAACGGCCGATTTGACGCGCGTTAGAGAAATGCCTGGCGTTAGAAAGCTGAACGTTAGCGCGTGCTGGCGTTAGCGAACGGTCGTGTTTCGTGTGTCGGGGCAATTCCGCTTCCGCTTACGCTAACGCTCGCCGCCGATGACGACCGCGTCGGCCGTTACCCGTGCGCGAGACGCGACGTCTTATTAACCCCCGGGGCTAGTTGGCGGTAGTGACGACGGCTGAGTGCGCGCGCGTGTTCCCGGCGACGGGCTTGACAGCGCGCCTCTGTCAACGGCCACTTTCGTCCCGCGCGCGCGCGCGCGCGGTCTCTTGTCTCGTGGCGTCGTGTCGCTCCGCCGTGATCCGCGGTATTACTCGACGGTGAAATTTCGGTTCGCGCCAGGCGGAAGTGAGGCTGGGCTACACGTCGGGACGTCGGGACGTCGTTTTGTCGTCGTGCTGCGGCGCTTGAATTTCGCTAGCTGATTTACCACTCGCGCTCTCATCTCCGCGGCCAAGCTTTAATCCGCGGAGCGCTGATTAATAGCGCGCTCGCGCTCGCGTCGTTTCGCCGCCTTTTTCGTTTTATTCCACGTCCGAGGAGAGATGGATCGGCCTCATTCGAGAGTCTCGGGTCTCTCGTCACGGGCGATTTATTTTTTCGCGATTTGCATTTTCATTAACGACTCGAATCTCTCTCGTTCGCTCGCTCTCTCTCTCTCTCTCTCTCTCCCTCTCCCTCTCTTTCTCTCTCTCCCCCCCTCTTTCCCCCTCCTCTCGCCTCTCCTTTTTCTGTTTCGCTCATGTTCGTTCGTCCA